TACTCAGCTTCATAGGACCTGTGAGGAGTACTCAGCTTCACAGGACCTGTGAGGAATACTCAGCTTCACAGGACCTGTGAGGAGTACTCACCTTTACAGGACTTGTGAGGAGTACACAGCTTCATAGTACCCATGAGGAGTACTCAGCTTCATAGGACCTGTGAGGAATACTCAGCTTCATAGGACCTGTGAGGAGTACTCAGCTTCACAGGACCTGTGAGGAGTACTCAGCTTTACAGGACTTGTGAGGAGTACTCAGCTTCATAGTACCCATGAGGAGTACTCAGCTTTACAGGACTTGTGAGGAGTACTCAGCTTCATAGTACCCATGAGGAGTACACAGCTTCATAGTACCCATGAGGAGTACTCAGCTTTACAGGACTTGTGAGGAGTACACAGCTTCATAGTACCCATGAGGAGTACTCAGCTTTACAGGAACTGTGAGGAGTACTCAGCTTCACAGGACCTGTGAGGAGTACTCAGCTTTACAGGACCTGTGAGGAGTACTCAGCTTCATAGGACCTGTGAGGAGTACTCAGCTTTACAGGACTTGTGAGGAGTACTCAGCTTCACAGGACCTGTGAGGAGTACTCAGCTTCATAGTACCCGTGAGGAGTACTCAGCTTTACAGGACCTGTGAGGAGTACTCAGCTTCATAGGACCTGTGAGGAGTACTCAGCTTTACAGGACTTGTGAATAGTACTCAGCTTCATAGTACCCATGAGGAGTACTCGGCTTTAGTACTCAACTTTGAGTTTCAGCAGTGTACCTGTGGTTTGAGGGGAGCTGAAAATCCGTGGCATGTGGGGCCCCTCTGCTAGAGGCCAGGCTCCCGGGCAGCCCCATGTGAGCGCATGCCAGGCTGAGTGTGGCCTCCCCTCTGTGCATCTTGACAGAGGTTGATGACTGCACAGTCTGGCCTCATGGGGTGTGGACTCTCAGGGGTGTGGCCTCTCGGGGGCGTGGCCTCTCGGGGGCGTGGCCTCTCATGGGGAGTGGCCTCATGGGGTGTGGACTCTCAGGGGTGTGGCCTCTCGGGGCGTGGCCTCTTGGGGGCATGGCCTCTCATGGGGAGTGGCCTCATGGGGTGTGGACTCTCAGGGGTGTGGCCTCTTGGGGGCGTGGCCTCTCAGGGGCGTGGCCTCGTGGGGTGTGGCCTCAGGGGTTGTGGCCTCAGGGGCGTGTCCTCTCAGGGATGTGGCCTCATGGGGTGTGGCCTCTCATGGGGCATGGCCTCATGGGGCGTGGCCTCATGGGGTGTGGCCTCAGGTGGTGTGGCCTCTTATGGGGGAGTGGCCTCATGGGTTGTGGCCTCAGGGTTGTGGCCTCTCAGGGGTGTGGCCTCTCAGGGGGCATGGCCTCATGGGGTGTGGCCTCTCAGGGGGCATGGCCTCATGGGGTGTGGCCTCATGGGGCGTGGCCTCGGGGGCGTGGCCGCAGGGGCATGGCCTCTCGGGGGGCGTGGCTCTCACAGGGTGTGGCCTCTCTGGGGTGTGGCCTCAGGGGTGTGGTCTCAGGGGGTGTGGCCTCTCAGGGGTGTGGCCTCTGAGCCCTTTGGACACTGCAGCACAACTTATAGTGCTGCAGAATGGCTTCTCCTGTCTTTAGCTTTTTCGCACCTGTTGGTTGCCTCAAGAGTTAAGCATAAGGTTGCAGAACTGGTTTGTGTGTCTCTAGACCCTGTGCGGTGGGTGGACGGGAGGTCTGTGGACGCCACAGTGGGGCTGGCGTGAGTCCCAGGCAGCTCTGCTCGTGCGTGGTGCAGAGTGAGCTCCTTCACTCCAGCCTGGCTCTCCTGGTGCCCATACAGAGTGCCAGAGACAGCGCAGGGGAGACAGTCCAGCACTTACGCATGGAATTCAGTGCTGCCGAGATGGTGAGCTCACAGCTTCAGGGAGGCGCGGCTGCGCATGCTCCAGCAGCCGCTTCAGGGACCCAAGTTCAGGGAAGACAGCCTCCTCCAGTGTGGCAGGTGTGTGTGGCAGCACAGAGCACCCACGCCTTGGAGAGACCTGTGCATGTGCGTGTGTGTGCACACACACACAGCCAGGTGGCTGTGACGTGTTTCTCCAGAATGCACAGTATTCCTTATGGAGGTACACACCCAAGCTGACCTGAAGCTGCCTGACCAGAGCTCCTCAGGCAGGCAGCTCCCCATGGCGGGGCGGAGGGGCGGCGCGTCTGAGACTTCACCGGAAAATGCCGAATGTGCCTCGTGGAGCTGACGGTTGCTATAGTGGCAAGTTGCTTTCTATCCTGAGTTCTTAAGATGACCGTGTGCAGGGCCTCTTCTATTTTGTTCATTTAGGTAGCTTATTGTCTACTTGGTTGCCCTACGAACCCGTGAGGGGTGGATCTTTAGGACGGCTGTGGGAACTGAACAGAAAGCAAACGCGCATGCATTGCTGCTAACGGCAGAGGTCAGGTGGCGTCTTACAGAGACGAACAAGGAAAGTGCGTCGTGGCTCACGTATCAGTCCGTGTTCTCTCAGCCTCACTTGGGCCCGGGTTGAGATCGGGAAGCCTGTGGTGAAACCGGTTGCAAACGAAGTCAGAGACTGGCAGGTAGGGAGGAAAGGCTGGGAGACAGGTCCCCTTCAGAGCCAGCGTAGACCCCCACCGGCCTCCCTCCAGCTGGGCCCGGCCCCTGACACCTCCACCGAATTACGACCCGCCAGTGCATTCACCATGGATGAGGTGGAGCTTTCGGACACACCCACCTCTGGATGCGGGAGTGCGGTGGGCTCTTGTTCCCGGGCAGTACAGAAGTAACGGATCCACAGGTGGATGGCTAATTCC